GAGAGTCACCTGAGCCCAGGAGTTTGAGGCTGCAGAGAGCTAGGATTGCACCACTGTACTCCAGCATGGGTGACACAGTGAGACCCTGTCTTGGAAAAAAGAAAATTAGAAGAATCTGTTCTGTTCAAAAAGATTTATTGATTTAATTTCTCACCCTTGTTCTGATCTGTTGACTTTTATTTCTTTAGGGAAAAAAATCAAACTTCAAGTGTTGATATGAACACACGGACAGCTAGTAAGAAGAGAAGGTGCTCTAGTACCTGGGCAGCCCTCTGTGATGTATTAATATTTCTTTGTGAAGCCAAGTTAGTTCAGGAAAGGAAATTAGAACTTGCAAGTTGCAGATCTAGTTCTTGTTGCATGAGCTGGTACGAGTTAATATAATGCCTCTAGTTTCTGTGAAAAATGCCCTATGTAGATGTTAGGCCCTCAGGCCTTCAGCAGACAAAGATATGATGCCTGGGATAGAATAATCCAGAGCAACTGTACAAATGGAAATACATTTAAAAAACCAGCTGGGCATGGTGACTCACGCCAGTAATCCCAGCATTTTGGGAGGCTGAGGCGGGTGGATCACCTGAGGTCAGGAGTCCAAGACTAGCCTGACCAGCATGGTGATACTCCATTTCTACTAAGAATACAAAATTAGCCGGGTGTGGTGGCGCATGCCTGTAATCCCAGCTATTTGGGAGGCTGAGGCAGGAGAATCGCTTATACCTGGGAGGCGGAGGTTGCAGTGAGCCGAGATCGTGCCATCGCACTCTAGCTTGGCGACAGAGCAGGACTCCGCCTCAAAAAACAAAAACAAAAACAAAAAAAACAAGTCAAGCAGCCCTCAAATGCTCACAGCACAGTCTGCGTTTCTCCTCTAAAGTCAATGTCTGGCATTGAATGTGCTCCTTAAGGCAGCCACACGAGCACAGGTGCACCAGGTCCCAACATTTGGAACTGTGCCAGTTGACTCATCTCTTTGGTGACACTCCTTCCCAACTGTGTATAACTGAGCTTGGGCCAGGCCAGCTAATGTCTGTGACTGTCTCCTAATTTGGAATTTTTTCCACTATATAATGAGTATGGCCCATTCATACTCTACTGTCAATGCTTCCAGAACTCAGCTGGATGCGAAACTGGAGCCCATCAGAAACAGGAAAGACAGCCTGGTGTGCAGTCCTCTGGATTGAAGAATGGGAAGCGTTGGGGAAAAAAGTCTGATC